ATTCCCAAAACAATAAATAGTAAGTCTTTGGCTCCATTGAAAATGATGAAAAAAATTGAGGAAAATTAATTAATTAATTTAAAATTAATCATTGACGTCAATATAATAACTATGATTCCTGTTTCATTAAAGTCCTCTATATGAGCCATAAAAGAGGAATACATGTTCTGTATCATATAAATTATCAGCTATTGCGTTTAGCTTATATCATTCTCTTGTAGTGATTTACCGTAATAAAATCGGTTTTATTTTATATACTCATAAAGACCGTCTAACCATGCTTCATGTATTGGTTGAGCTCAAATTTTGCAATCACTTATTTCAGTCACTTTGGCAGTTTAGTTATCATACCTTACACATTTATCGTTCAATCCTTCTGGGATATTCTTCCGACATTCCAACCATAATATATTTATGTTTATGCCGTTATATCTCCCCCTAATGTCGGAAAATCTGCCACAATGTTTTTAAACAAGGATTTACGTGCATATGGAACCACTTCCAGGGTCCAAGTACATCATTTCTATAGTGGGGTTTCAATATTGACACATTTTGGCTCATTTAAACGTGTAAACTTTTGGGGTTAGTTATTAACAAATGCCGAATTAATATAAACTACATTTTCTTCATATATTTGGGCAACTTTCTAGTAATTTATCTCAGGCAAAACATTCATCTTATAATGCTAGATATATTTTGTGGGTTACTTTATGTTCTTCACTATATTTTATAAAAGCTGGCAAAGTGGTCTTATACCACTCATTACATGTAGACATTTCAAGAGAGCATATCTTGAGACCAAGTTTAATATTATTAACCCACATTGTGAAACTTTAAGTTCACTCAACTGCCATGGATCCACTTTACAATATTGGGAGAATAGACGGTCTTGCCATTTGAATGGAAGTATTTATATACTGGATGTCTTATGCGGCATTTGGTTTAAACCTGGGTTGACCTTAAATTGGTCATTCATTCAAAAATCTTAAAGTTAATGCAATATATGTTTAAATTATTCAAGTATATATACTATAGTATGAGGAGAATTCTGCTACATGCAGGTATTGTGGAAACACAACTTACACTGTATTGGTATGGTCTCAAACTATCACTCAATAAGTATGATATCACTTTTCAAATTACTATTTCGCAGTGTTTGAGTTGCTTCTTTGAGCTTACACTTAATACCTGAGATTTTATCATTATTATATGCACAACTTGTTTATAAATATAATTTGTGCTTCCATCACTTTTTATCCTTACAATAGGATTGAATTTCTAATGTTTATGACTCTATCAAAACTTAATATATATCAAGCTCTATGCCACAAGTATATACATGCTTCAATTCAGGCATTATATCATCTCTAATACATAAATAATTTGTCTCTAAAATAGTCATTTATATAGTGATTTCTTATGTTCACAGAAATTATAAGAATCACCCACCTAGAAATCTATATAGAGTCAAATGATTAGATAATGCTACTATTGAAGTAAAATAAAAGTTATTAAATAATCAAATTTGTTTAAGAACACTTAAAGTTGTCTCAAAGTATTCACTTGAATGGATTTCTTAAAATTTACCTTCGCACATATAATAACATATATTGTCCGCTTTGGTACTTCAGGACCTCACGGCTTTAAGACACATCTACAAGTAAGGGCTTCAAGCTCCACTTCTCGCACACGCACACACATTATCTCGTGTGTAAGTGATGTGGGAACTTCATGTTCACAACACACCCACTTGTACATCAAATTTATGCTCTTATAGAGTTATAATGACTTCTGGCACTTTGTTATAGTTTCATATTTCCATTTCGGAAATTTATTTGTTTTCTCCCTCTCTCCAGTAGATTAACTTGAACTAATCATTATACATAATTGTATTAAATTGTGATTTTCTAGGCATTATTTGTGTATTCGTAGAAATATTTAACTATATTTCGAATATAGTTGAAGTCTATATCATGTTTTCTAATCATGTATTTTCTTAAAGTATATTACTTACTTGAATGTTTTATAGAACATTGGAGCTATACTAGTCACATCAACTTATCGATCAATATTCAACAATCAAGTTTATTTATAAATGTAATCATATTATGTTCCAAAATGATCAAACTATAAATAGATATATGCGGAACGAACCTGTTAGAGTCCCGGGTTGACCTTTTAGGATGGAAGCCCAGGTCTTAACAGAACCTGCATTTTCTTAATGCTTCTTACATTAATTCAAAGTAGAATGAATAATTTTTATAGTAATACAAGGAAAATGTTCATGAACTGATAAAAGTTACAAAAGGTAACGAAATGTTAATGAACTTATTAAAATCCACCAGTCTCAAAATCGAGTCGCATGGAGTGTTATATATTTTTCCAACTGGTCGTAAGTATGTTTTAGACCTTCAATTCCCATAATTTTAGGGGATCTCTTAATTAAATACTCATATTTAAAATCGTCATGGGGGTAGTGACGGAGATTTATTGTTCTTTTAGCCTTATCTTCTTTAAATGTTGTATTGGCAATTTTAATGATATCACTTAAACTTATGGTGTCTCACGATTTTTCTTTTGGACTGAAATTTGCTGGTCTTGTCTGTTTAAATCTGGTCTGGTCTGGTAACGTCTGGTCTCTGTGGATTTTATAACTAAGAAATCCAGGTCTGGTCTGGTCTGGTCTATTTAAGTCTGGTCTGGTCTGGTCTAGGACTGAAAACAGTCTAAAAGAAAACATGCTCACTCAAAGATATATTCTAAAACGTTTGAATTTTAAATTCTTTATTGATATTATATGTTAACTAAATTTAATTCATGTCATTAATTGAATAAATAAATGTCCTTTTGTAAACCCATATTGACTAATAAATGTCATTAAATTCCATTAAAATAGCTTCTTTATGTCACCGATATTAACTCAAGTGAATATTATAATAAGGACATAAAACAAAAATTCCAAAAGTCTTCTCTCAATATGTTTTCTTTCTATTATAGCGGAAAGTTTTGAGAACAAAAATACTTTGCTAAACAGAGTATCATGTACTGGCACATTAGTAAATACTACAATTGGATTTAAATGTCATAAAGGATAATAATGATGAATATATATGCTAATTAGATTCAATTTATGTCATTATTAGAGAAAGTTAATGTCCTCTAACCGTTATTAGGATAAAAATGTTTAAATTGAAAAGCAAATGCATTAAATTCCTTATTTAATAAAATAATCAATTTATTTTCTTTTCCTTGAGCCTCTAGACTGATCCAATTCATCACTGACCCATTCACATTAACAACAGATCGTGTTCCTGAAACGGGTCTTGATGGTATGCTCCACATTTGAAGGATTTGCAGTGAAAACAACGGAGAATCCGGGGCGGTGTAGAGTGAAGGTTAATTTGGGAGAGCCGTTGACGGCATAGAAAAGTCATTGAATTCGACGATATCTGTTTTTCAAAATTAAAAAGTAGGAACCGACCAGACGGTAAGATGTATTTTATCTGTAGATTTGGATGATAATATTTTGGAGAGGATGAAGAAGAAAGAGCAAGAGGAAGGTGAACGCAAGTAAGAAAGGGTAGAGCTCGCACCTTCAAGATTTTGTGCAGCGAAGGTTTTAAAAAAGTGAGTGGGAAAGGGTAGTTTGGACAAGTTTGAATTAAAAATAGTTACTAGTACCAAAAATGGAAACATAATGATTTATATGGGACGTTCTGAAAAGGAAAGTGTAAAGATTTAACCGGGACGGAGGGAGTATGTTATTTAATTTAAGGTAGTTTCTACGAGAGGAAGTTCAGGTCCAGCCGGAGGGACGGGAGCTGTCATTCGAACTTTGACGTTTGGGGAAGTTCCCGGTGGATTTTTTTTTTAGCATGCTCCTCATCAAGTCCAGTTTATCCATACCCAATTTCAGCTCAAAATTCGATGGGGAAGGCATTCAAATCTTTTTTTGAAGTTGACTGCGCCAAAATATACATATAAAAACGCAGTCAACTTCAAAAACTGATTTGACTGCCTTCCCTATCGAATTTTGAGATCTGAAATTTGGTATGGATAAATTAGACTTGATGACGAACATGCTAAAAAAAAATCATCAAAAAATTCGACCGGTAACCGCCCCAAACGGCGGAGTTCGGACGACGGCCGACAGAAGAGGCTGGACCTTAAACATTTTAGAGATATGATACTTGTCCCATGTGGCCAAATAAGCAATGTACATGTGGATAATCATGTAGTGACCGAGCATTCAATTTAATTAAACAAAGTTTGCACGTCCTTATGAAATACTCCATACACGAGAATTTTAAACGATAACGGAAGTTTGTTGTTCGTTTCCGGCTTTCTACCGAAAATTAATTACATAAAATTAATTAAAATGATTAAAGAAAAACAGAAATAAGATAGAACAGAATTTAGCCGAAGCTCGTGCTATACATAATGTCCTTAAAATGTATCGTTGTCTCCCTAGGTGCTAGGACCGTTGCAACGATCGTTGCCCAGGATACGATGACTACGAACAATTTTTTGAGCACTCAACAAATTGTTCCAGTGAACGGAAACACTGTATGAAAACTAAGGAAATTTTGAAGCCATTCTGTCCGTAGTATCTTTAAAAGTCGCAGTTTTTCTTCTCCGTTTTCGGGATTTCATTCACACCCCCGCGCGCAAAGATAGTTTTTCCACCTAAGAATCTTAACTCATTAAAAGTGGATTCCCTTTATAAGGGGCTTCAAATCCCTTGAGTTTTCCGGTGTGGGATAAATCACACTAGAAACGCATCCTTTTTCCCAATTTTTCCATTTTAACGAGTGAACTTCGAGAATCAATTTCTCATTCACCCATTATCCGTTTTGAGTGTACCATATATCGAATTGTAGTCCTTAAAAGGGACAATCCAAAACCACTTTGACCCGATCCAAATATATCGGAAGTGGACCTCACTCAAAATATTGCCTCAAATTACTATTTAATGCAATTTTAACACATTTTCCAACGTTACCCTCCCCAACCAGAAGGCGGTTTCTTTCTCTCCATCGCAACCTAGGAGACTTCTGTTTTCTCCCGTCCCTCGCTGCTGCTGCATAATCGCGGAAGAGAATCACAACCGCGAGAATTGAAGTTTTATAACAGGCTTCATGTCTCAACGAACTTAGCCCAATCAATTGAGATTTTCAAGTATTGGAAGGTTTCTCTTGATCATATTCTAATAAATTTGGTATGGACTTAGTTTATTCATCACATCTAATTTAGGGATTTGGAAATTATGCATAAATGATGTAAGAATTAACCCTTTGTGGATCGAAATAAAAGAAAAAAATTAGTAACATATATGGGAACACATGGTTCTAGTTAGCATTTTTTTTTTGTATCTGTTTTTTCCTGATTATTTTGATTTTACAAAACTTTTTTTCCAGTTTCTTGATAGAATGGTTTCTAGTTTTAGACTTTTAATGCATAGTTTTGTTATTGATATGCTTTTATTTAGAAGTATGTATTAAACCTTGTAAAACTAAGTGGTGGATGCCCTTGTTGGACTTTGCCCAATTCATTCATTCATATAGTCAGTGTCAGCATATAGGAGAACCCTTTGGATTTGCCTATGTTAAACTCATAATCGCATAGCCTATTGTTTATTCCATTAAGATTAAACTCATTATTTCCTTAAAATTGCATTGTAATATGAAGTAGTCAGGTAAGTTTATATCAATAACAGCCTGTTTTTAAATATGCTATCCAAGCCTATCACATATTACATCTTTTCCCTTGTATTTTGATTGAAATCTGAAGTTTTTCTCCATCAACAGTGAAATGATGTGTCATTTATCTTTTCAGGCAAATCTGACAAGATACTAAAAATTCTAGCACTTTACTTTGAACTGTTGAAACTGATCATCTAATCTGGATGCCTTTACCAGAAAAGTTGTCGTCCTACGGGAATATGATTGTTAAATTTGAACGCTTCCGGTCATGCTTATTGGCGACCATAAGCATTTAAATATATGGCAGAAAATTGAGAAGAAAGGGAAAAAGAAGTAAAGATTAAGAAAAAAAGAGGAGTGAAAGTAGAGAGGAAACCACATGTATTGTTACACTTGATACATGTTTCTATATTGTTTAATATGGCTTGATATTGTCCAACTCAAGAGAAGTGTTAAATTATGTAAAGTAGAAATCGTGTGATCAGAAGTTATAGGGTTTATTCTATTAGGTTTAGGTCAATAATTTCTCAGCAGGTTAAGCATTGGATTTGAAGTGTGTGAAAATTATCAAGTAATCAACTAAATCTAAAATAAACCAAAGAAAAAAAAACAAAAAGAAATAGAAAATCGGAATAACTTTAATTTAATGAAAATAGCATTCCGTTTAACATCCTGTATAAATATAAGAACTTGATTATCTGTCTTTAATTTAGCATTTAGTTTAACATTCTGTCTTTCAAGCATTATGTTCATAATTTCGAAAATAAGTTTCAATGTTAATATTTGCAGCAATCAAATTCAATGGCCTGCTCTGGTTAGTGAGGCCTGTGGACTTCAAAATGATTTTTCTTTTAAGTTATCTGCACCGACTGCACAACCTTATTTCTTATACTTAAGCAGCCATTGCTTCCTTTTTAAATCTTATGTTTCCGAGTCTGAACCAACGGTCCTTTTCACAGATCTATTAAAAAGATTATATTTAGGCAGTTAAACCACAGAGGTATCTGTCTTAGTTTTTCTCATTTTGTTTTCATGCTTCATTTTAGTTTTGGTAGTAAAATCATGTCCTTCGTTCCAATCATAGCTCTGAACTAATTTAGGCAGTTAAACCACATAGATATCTGTCTTAGTTTTTCTCATTTTGTTTTCATGCTTCATTTTAGTTTTGGTAATAACATCCTATCCTTCGTTCCAATCATAGCTCTGAACTATATAGAATTTTGTAAACCTACAGTCCAATGTCATTATATTGGTCCACTGTGCTGGTTCTTGAAAAGTCAGTAGGACATTTACTCTTTGCTAGATCTCGAGCTTCAATGGCAGGCTTATTTGCTTCTACTTGGTCATTAAAAGCTTCTCTTTCTTTGATTTTTTTGTGTGATTATGGAAAATGAAAACAATGTCACATTCGAAAGATGAGTGTGGCAGATATGAGCATCTTGCGTTGGATGTGTGGACATACAAAAAAAGACCGCTTGAAGAATGAGATAATTAATAAGACAGAAGGTGAGAGTAGCACCTATAGAAGATAAGAAGCAGAAGTCTTGTTTGCAGGGGTTTAGGCATGTGCGTAGAAGACCAAATGATGCACCTGTTAGACGACTTGAGGGGTGGGAAGAACAGACAAAAAGGAGAGGGAGGGGAAGACCCAAACAGACTAGCATTAGAGGAATCAGAACAAATATGCGTCTTCTTGGGTTGGATGAGATTATGGATTTGAAGAGGGCAAAGTGGAAGGCGCGCATTCGTGTGGACGATTAATCTCTTGTCTATTTTTCCTCTCTCCTTTTCTTGTATCGTTTATCTTGTTGTATTTTTTTGTTCTTATGTTTTTTTATCTTCTAGCTTTTTCATGCTCTTTTATCTTTTTATCTCATATCTATCTTATATTCTTATGTTATTGTTATCTTATATTTATTTATCTTTATGTCATTCATTTTTTCTTTCTCTCTCCTTGTTTGTCCTCTCCTTTTGACATCGATATCATGGAACGATTCATATTAACCGACCCCAAAGTCTTTCGGGACTAAGGCTTGGATGTTGTCGTTGTTAATGGGAAATCAAAACTATTCCATCTTGAAATTACTTCTTACTTTGTTTCAATGCATCTGATTCTCACATAGTGTGTGATTTAGATTCAACTCTTCCATTTCCTTCTCCCCTAGCACACTATATCGCTGAAACCACCCATCCCTCCTTTCCATTATTTTGGGAGTTTAAAAGGTAACATATATTATTATATTTAAAAAATTGATTATACAGAGCATATATTACTGAACCAATGTTTGTATAGTTGATGTCACTGTCTTTATTAATCCCCCGTCCCACCCCCATTTCAGGTATTTCCGGATTGTGCATGCACCAATTCTACCCAGGTCATTTGCATAGGACAGAAGCTACATGAAAGATGCTGCATGAAAATGGCAGTCTCAACCTCCTGCTTATGAAGCCATTGGTACTGAAGGTACATACATGAAAGTCATGCAATAATATGTCATTTCATGCTGTGAATGCACACAAAAAGTATTGTTTCAGATTTTATTAAACTGGACCTTTAATATAATTATATTATGATGATGAATGCTCAATGCTCAATGCTGTAAGGTAGAGGACAACCACAAATGTGTATAATATATTTTTTTTTGTGCATTTTGCTTTCTTTTCTAGGTCCTTTAATTGATAGTTTATCTATCTTTGAAATCCTGAATTGATAATATTCCAAAAAAAAATTGATGAGAAAAAAAGTTTATTCATGCTTTTTTTAACCTAGGAAAGTACAAAGGAGATCAAATAAATATGATTACCACTTTATCATTTTACATTATAATTATATTTCTGTATTTATATAAAAGAAATTTATATATACTAGTTTCCTTCCCTTAAGCACTAAATATAACCTTTTTCTCTGTTTTTTTTGTAGGTTTATAGCTGACTTGTTTTTCATGATGATTACAAAATAACTGGTGTCAGAGGGAAGACAAACTAAGTAATATAGGTTACTACCTATTTTAACTTGGATCGTAATTTGTTAGTATGGTCTGATCTGGTCTATTCTGAACTGGTATGGTCTGGTCTGGTAAAGTTTTTCTTTGTTTTTTTAACTATCCAAGACTGGTCTAGTCTGATCTGGTCTGGTCTGGGACTGATTAAAGTCCAAGTAAAAACATCCTTAACCATTAACCTATTAGTGTGTTAGCACCCATTTGTGTGGTATAAGGTATTAATCGATTGATAAGCCCCATAAGTTTTGCACCCCGACATTATATGAAAAAACAAAAATGTCATCGATCAGGAATATATTGAAAGGCAACAAAATTGTTAATGGATGACATTTTTGCCTTTTCACTGGGGTTGGGGTTGCAAAAACAAAGATCTTTAAAAACAGGGTGCAAAGTCCAATTTGAATAATAAAATGAGGTGCAAACTCAAATTACCCTTAAATCAAACTAGACCAAACTTAAACAGATCAGATCAAATTGGATTTCCGTAGTCAGACTAGACCATGCCTGATCGGATTTAATTAAACAGATCAAAGTAGACCAAACCATCAAATGTGTGTGTATTGGAGAAAAAAATACCCATACTCTTTCAACAATCTGCATCTAAAAATAATTTCTACGGTACAAAACCATAACTGCCATTATTCAAAGTGAAGGTTAGAATGTAAAGAATAAATTTTAGTGCAAAAAGTTAAAAAGAACTTAAATAAAGAGAAGAAATTAAATAAATGAAAATTAAATACCTATACGGTATTCTTCTTTTGTACCTACCTCGCCTCTCTTTTAATTTATAAAGAAGGCCATTAGAATTTAATTTTTCGGATAGAAACATATTTGTAGTCTCTATTTTCGGCTTACTACCAAACACAAACTTTTGGCATCATATAAGAACGTGTATAATAATCAAATTTAGGAAGACCGAAGTTATTTTCTGGCTCAATTAGCTGATTTTGATGAGGAGGGTACGCTATAGTTTTTTCACATATTTTTCGTTTTGTTTAAAATTAAGACTTTGAAACTTATGGAGTGGTTTTCAGATCTGAATACTATAGGCCCCCCAACCTTCTCTTTTTAAAGCCAAGCATTCCAGCTCAGCTGGTTGTGAGGTTATTGTTTCTAGCGAGAGGTCTCGAGTTCGAAACCCGCTAGGCACGTAAGAGTTTGAAACTCAATGACGTGAATTTAAGCCCTAATTACTTCAAGCCCCCTCCCCCAGATCCCCTGGAGTAAAAAATGAATAAATAAAAACTAAAGTAAAATAAATTTTAAAAACTAAACAAAATATCCTTAATTCTACGAATTTGACTAATTACTCGATTTGAGCCAAAACTTTAACTGATTCAATATATTTGAGCGCATGACTAAACGAACTTGAAATCAAGGATTCCCGAAGTAAAGGAAATGTCAAATACTCCGTAAGAGATATACTGAGAAGAGATCGATCGAGATACCAATGAATTATTGGTCTATTATATGTAGTATTACATAGTGATAAGTGGTGCTTAAATATATGTATCTTCAGCGCTAGCTAACGAGGGAGACATCCAAAGAGATCGCACCGTATCACTTTGTGTCGAAATAGAAGCACACCCAAAATGGTACAATGCGATCCCTTTGGACGTTTACTTTCGTTGCTGTATGGATATAAGAACGAAGCTTGAATTGTGTACCGTGTGGGTGTATAATATATACGTAGTATGTAGAACAAAAAAATATAAGAACAATTGAATTAAGGATTAAGCTTGAATTGGTTGTGAGTGTATGATATTAGTCTCTGATCCGAGGCAGCTCTCCTTTTATAGTGCTCGTGATCAACTGTAGCAAATCATTAGGGGGGACTTTTTCAAAGCTTGATATATTTTTTAATTTGTATTTATTATGACTTTGGTGAGGTTTTACCCCTTGGTCGGCCTTCGAGTTTTGGGAAATTTCCAACCAGGTAAAAACAAAAAACGTACTCCGTAGATACAACGCTAAGGCCTAAGTTTGTTGATCGGTATAAACAATTGGCGGTCGAGTTATCTAATAGTCGTCGAAAATTTTAGAAAAAGTGTGCATGGTAAATTTAGAGTAGTTTGATCGTTCTGTTCGTCTTATTCTTATTACTTACTACGTATTACTTATTCTTATTTTATTCAGATCAGATCAGATCAGAAAAATTCAGATCAGATCAGATCAGAAAAATTCAGATCAGAAAGATTCAGATCAGATCAGATCAGAAAGATTCAGATCAGATCGGAAAGATTCAGATCAGATCAGACCAGATCAGAAACATTCAGATCAGATCAGAAACACTCAGATCAGAAAAGTTCAAACATGATTTATCACTTTTATTATTATATTAATTATTATTATTAATATTGTTATTACTATTATGATTATTATTATATAATTATTATTAATAATATTAATAATAATATGATAAAAAAATAAGATATTAATATAGTTATAATATTTTAATATAATAATAGTAATATAAATGCAATTATTAAGAAGACTATTATTATTATTACAATATTATAATAATAATAATATGATTAATATTATTATAATATGATATTATAATTATATGTAATTATAATTATACTTATAATTATAATTCTTATAATTATAAGTATATCAATTGTAATTATTATAATTATATCTATAATTAATTATAATTATAATTGTAATTAATTATAATTATAATAATTATAATTACAATCATAATTATAATTATGATTATAAGTATAATATAATATTATAATAATATAATACTAATTATAATAACAATATTATTATTATTATTATTATTATTATTATTATTATTATTATGTTATTGTAATAATAATATTAATATAATAATATCGTTATAATAATATTAATTGTATTTATATTACTATTATTATATTATAATATTATAATTAATGTAAATATAATTATAATTATTATTAATTATAAATATACTTATAATTATATTATAGTTATAATTTATGATTATAATTATTATTTTTATTATAATTATTAATATTATTATTATTATTGTTACTATTGTAATTATTTTACGGAGTAATTATAATAATATTGATAACTATAGTTACAATTATAGAGATAAATATTGTAATTATAATTACAATTATAATTATATAAGTAATTATAATTAAAAATATAATTACAATTATAATTATATCTATATTTATAATTAGTGTAATATGTATAAATTTTTTCATTTTAAATTTAATTTTAATTATTATTATTATTTTTATAGTTACGAGTATAATTATAATTTTATTTAAGTTATATTTGTAATTGCAATTATAATAATTATAATTATAATTATAATCATAGAAATATTCAAATCAGATCAGATCAGAAAGATTCAGATCAGATCAGAAGGATTCAGATCAGATCAGAAACATTCAGATCAGATCAGACCAGATCAGAAACATTCAGATCAGATCAGGAACATTCAGATCAGATCAGATCAGATCAGAAAGATTCAGATCAGATCAGATCAGAAAGATTCAGATCAGATCAGATCAGAACTTAAAAAATTTAGATAAGAAACATTCAGATCAGGCGAAGAGAGCAATTTCTAAATTATGTAATAATCTAGTTCATTAGTGAAAAATTTCTGATATATATGCCACGCTTATTTTATGCGACGTGCGGAGCTTTTAAGCACCGCAAAACCCAGTGCCGCAAATTCAATTTTAACGCCGCTTACTTAAGAAAAGTGTCGCAAATTGTGCGACGCTTTTTAAAAAAAGCGCCATAAATCATGTGGCATTTTTTTGGGAAGAATTTGGCTTATATTGATAACAGATATTTCATAGTATGGGTCAAGTGACAAAAATAAATCCGACAACCGTTATCCCGCGAACCAGACTCTAAATTAATCACCCCCAGAGAAGCAATATAATTCGTTGATTCATAAATGGGAAACCTAAAACCTAAAGCCAAAAACGGTCACCATATTTCTCTCATCCCTCACATCTAAAATCAACGTCTTACAACCAGGAACACAAAAGAAAAAACAAACAACATAACAGAAATAACAATCACTGAACCAACAAATAAAACAAAAGATAAAAAACTTCTTTGCAGCCAGAACACTCGAACAGTCCCTCGGACATGCGGCCTCCATACTCCTGTCAACAGCTTCGGCGGGCTTAAAGAGCAAAGCCCGCCTCCTCCCCGTTTTTTGTCCCATCCAAAGCCACATTGTCCTCTTCTTTCTCCTTCTCTATCTCTTCTTTCTTCTTCTATGTCTGTGTCTCCCAGATCTTCATTCTCTTCGAAACCTCTTCCTTTGGCTCCTCTTCTCCTTCTTTGGTAAAGTTTTGGGCAGATTCAGTCGTTGCCTCTTTCTCTCCAATCTTTTCTTCTGATTTTAATGTCCCTGTATATCCACCCGTTCTGCCAGAGCTCGATGAACCCTCCAAGAGCCACTCATTACCTCCTGTTGGGCTGGTCTTCACCCTGCTTTCTGCTCTAATTAAGATGGATTCCAAACCTGTTTTCTAAAACTAAGCCTTCTTCATAATTTAAGAGACATCAATTATTTGAGTGTCCAATAAAGCCACAAATGAAGCAAAAGTTGGGTAGCCTTTCATATTTGAAATCTACCCAAAAACTTTTACCATCTTTTTTAAGATTTGTCCCCTTCTTCAGCGATTTATCCATCTTCATAAGAACCCTAGCCCGCATATATGGCTCCCATTTACACTTTTCGGATTATCATCATATTTAATAAATTCCCCTATAAAATTTGTAACACGTCTGGCAGTACCCAGATTAACAAGACTATAGGGAACATTATGGATCTGAACCCAAAACTCTGTCTCATTTAAAATAATTTTGGGTGGGATATCATCAGGCATAACTTCTTTTAACATTAAGAGACTACGCTCAAACTGCCACGGACCTCCTTCCAGCACACGCATCATATCGTATCAAAACGATGATTATTAAAAGTAAATAGGTACCTCTTTTCACCAATTTCTTTTACCGACATACCCTTCCCCGGCCTCCAAAGTGAGAGCATCATCTCTTTCAGTTCTGGAAATTTGACCTTACGGTCCGTAAGCACTTGACCAATCACCGAAAAACCCACCACAGCCACCTCCACCGGAACTCCCTCATCCTCAACCTCATCAAGGTTCAAGTCTTCCTCATCGGCCCCGATCGCCTATGTTGCACGGATACGGATACGCCGATACTCGGATACGCGGATACGGGCACGGCGATACGGCACTTTCAGAAAATATAGGATACGAGTACGGGGGTATATTTATAAATAATAAAAATATAGGGTATAATTTGCAAATATATATAATTCAGGGGTTCATAAATAAAATAATAATAGTACAAAAAATTAACTATTATAATAAAGTTTCAAAGATTAGTCTAAAAAAACTAAAGTATTGATATTTTGATTTATATTCAAATAACATTTTTTTGTTCTCTATTTGCATTTACATCTAAGTCTTGTTTCAATTAAAGCTCATCAAGCAATGAAATGACAAATTATAGTATTCCATTATTTTCCATACTCTCGAAACCATCTTTATCAATGTTCCACATGTTGTGGTCGCTTGGGCGGCTACTGAATTTTCGTCATGTCGTGTATCAAATGAGGGGTTATAGGTTCAGATACGTGTATCGGTTCACGGATACGGGTATCGGAAGTATCAATATTTTTAAAATTAAGCCCGATACTTTTATTAAATTACGGATACGGACCCAATACGTACAGGACGCGTATCAGTGAGTATCGGATACGGATACGTATCGGATACGTAGATACGACATCGAGGTGAAGTATCGGTGCAACATAGCCGATCGCCATTTGTTTATACCGATCAACAAAGTTTTCCATGCTCCTAATCTAAACCTCGACCGTCGCACTGCTACTGGAAACCGCCTCAGAAGCTCTACGCTATCGGAACTGCACCGTCCTTCTAGCCTGAACTCGCCCCTTCCCTTGCTTCTGAAACCGAAATAAATAGTCAAAACCACATTCTTCCCCACCAATCCGATTGTCCACAGTCCTGACTCCAACAACACCGCCCAAATCACCCAACCAACCCGCCCTTTAATAGACTCAAAGGTGGACGAGAAAAAAACTAGGGGTTGCGTGAGGCAACCCTAGAGAGAGAAAGAACTGGTGCAGCGTAACATGTGGCATTTTTTAATAAAGTGCTTCATACTTTTATATAAAAAAATATAAGAAAAATTACTAAATTAGTAATAATACGGAATCTCGAAAAACGTAAACCCAATTTTAATAGCACAACAAAATTCAAAGTCTTCAACATATATACATCATATGAATTGTTACACCAATGTCAAAACAAAATTACGTACACATTTCCCACAATAATTATCTAGCTAATAAAACTCAACATACTAAAGAAGTTGTCTCATAGATTATAGATATTGTGAAAATCTTCTACGTGCTTCATTTCTTGGATGTCAATCCTGAAACATTTATATAAGATAAAATGTAAAGTTAATAAGGCATTATATATATTTTAATTTATAAATTCAATAAATGAAGCTAATGTTAATAAAAAATAATAAATTTGCAATACCTTTACCATATATATACATGCTGTGGAGATAGGAATAACTTGCACATATCCTCATGAAGGTGTAAAATAACTTTTATGGTTAGGCAATTATGAAATTTATTTTGGGAAACATAAAGTATCTATTAATGTGTCTTAGTGTAAGACAATGAATCAAAACAAATTATATTGGGGACAAAAATTAAAATTGAATTAGAAATAACAAGGGGAATAATCGTCAGTATGAAATTTACCTTAGATTGATAATATCTGCCTTTAAATAATAGCAAAAAGAACTACTACTCCGGTACGTATTAGAAGTAAAGTAATAGCTTAAATTGGCCATCTCTAAACTTCAAAAGGATCAAGTGTTTGTAACCCACTAACCCATTTACATACTGTCATGCTTGACATACGATTTTACTCAAGCACACTTGTACAAATCATATACTCCCTCCCTCGCTCCCTGAAACAACTTCCTGACCTACACACATATTAAGGAAATAAACTTATTAGAGGGTAAATTTTATTGTTTTTATACTGTTTGACACTGTTTGACACTGTTTTGATGTAGATAATTTCCCATTTAGGGAAATGGGAAGTTAAATTAGGGACATCCAAATAAGGAAAGTGAGAGGTTATTTCAGGGATGGAGGGAGTATGTTTTTAATTTGAGAAGATACGATCAAGAGATAGAATGAAGAAGAACATAGACAGAATTTCGATGTAGTAAACATTAAGGTGTACAAATGAAGTTTTATTTGAAATTTTACATTTTGATTGATGATGAGACACAAATCCAAAATTTCAGAGCGCTTAACCGGAAAATAGAATGAAGACTTCAGCCAAATAGAGTAGTGGCATCAAAAACCGAAACTCATCATAGCTAGTGACAAGCAAAGATCAATATAGAAACACCAAGTATTTATACTGAATCAAACAAAAAGTTCAATCCACCATACATCAACCATATATGAGGCTTAAGAAAATTATTTAACTTGAGAAATCATCATCCTAGGCTAAAAGTGAAAAAATTAAATTGTCATAAATTAAAGCAATTGTAAGTAAACACTAAAACCACTGAACCAGCACCAAAGTCTGAGTAGGCCTTTGTCTTTGAACCCCAATCAGTGAAGGTTCAACCTTTTTTATCATCCTCCTGACAAAATCAAGAGAAGTTAGAAATTAAAGAGAATACCAACCGAGAATAGTAGAAAACAGAAAGAAAGAAAAAATTATGACAATGGATAAAGTTAGAATTTCTTGAATAATAAATAGGAGTACTCAATTAGCATTGAGAAGTAATTTACTATGCCATGGAAATTAACAGCTTCCAAGAACCTTAGATTTTTAAAACCCCTTTGTAATTTCTTCATTAAAAGAACGTTCTCCTATTCTTAAACTTACTTCACTGCAAAATGTTCCATACATTCACTGGCAATAATTACAAGGTTTAAAACCTTGTAGAGCATTTGAGCATCACAACCAACATATTCTTTCTTTTTACTATCATAGACTTATAGTTATTTTGGAGTGTTATATTTTTCTCATTGCATTTGGAGGGGAGAGAATGAAATAAAGTATTAAATAATTTTAACGAATTAACATTTCCAGTAATCTTGTCTAATCAAATCAAATGCACACGTACAATAAATTTAACAAGTAAGAGATACAATTCACTTACTTGAATGAAATTATATCTTGTTTGATAAAGTCATGATTCCCGCTATGATGTCTTTAAATGATGGAGGATTGATCAATAATATTGATCAATTAATAGATGTGTCTCCCAAAGAACTATTTACTGTAATTTATAGGTTTCTGATAAGACGTGATATATATGCATATATCACACATGGTTTTACATGGCAAGTTGCCGATCACGCGCGCACATATCACATGGGATTGCATAATATGTTTTATTTAGTTCCCTCGTTTGCATTACTTTCCTTTTATACTGTCGTAGGGCATTGTATAAATTATGGCAGACACTTAGCAATAAACATCAACCTACGACATTTTCACTTTGTGGAGATTAAAAAAACCGGATGAACGTATTCGTACGTATTTAGAGCGGATCGGTCACGACAAATGGTCTCGTGCATATGCCAGTCGGAATCGATACTCGGTTATGATGTCAAACAATGCCGAGTCATTAAATGAAGTTAATGCCACGGCCCGAGAATACCCAATCTGTAAGTTGATAGAGTTTATTATTGCTAGGATGCAAAAGTGGTTCTGTGAAAGGCGAGAAACTTCGTCGTCGAACACTTGTCGTTTATCTACACACTTTGAGTCTGAGCTAGTAGTTTTACAAGCTATGGCCGCCGTGATGACAGTATTTCCCTCAAACCATTGTCTTTATTTCACTGCTTTATCTGTGTCTATTCCACTGCTATTTCATTTAATTGTACATTTCAAAATATTTTATTTTGTTTTTGGTTATTTGATAATGAATTGTGCAGGTGAAACCATCATGCGCTTTTGAGTTTGAGGTGTTTGATAAGAAATCCCGCTCGTATGTTGTCAACTTGAAGGAACGTATGTGCACTTGTCGGGAATTTGAGCTTGATGGATTTTTGTGTGTACATTCCGTTGCTGCCATTCGCTCTCGACCAGGTCTTTCTTGCTACGATTATATATCAGAATTCTATACAGCACATCATTGGGCACAAACATACTGTGGCATTATTCATCCTATTGGGAGTCCAGATGGTTGGATGGTACCCTCGCATGTGAGTCAAATCATTTGCAAGCCCCCATCATGCGAATCACGACCTCCTGGAAGGCCAAAGAAGAGAAGGATTCCGTCTACTGGAGAACATGTTCGGAAACAAACATGCACTCGTTGTCACATGGCTGGACACAACCGAAAGACCTGTAGAAATCCGATTCCGCTACACATGCGTTAAAAACTGCTTTTAATTTGCTGTTTTTTTAATATTTCTACGAATTTAGTGACATTCACCACTTTGGTTTTGTTTTCTTTTTGAACATTCTTGTTATTTATTTCTGGATATTAATTCCATATGACTTGGTTCCCTCCTTGTGTGAGTGATCGTGCTTTACTAGTTATTTAATGTCCATGTTAATATTTTAATTCCCTACATTGACTGCATACTACTAATTATATTGCTTTTACCAGGTCCTATAAGGTTTTTCTTTTACCAGGTCCTATAAGATTTTTCACAAAAACTAACTCAGCGTCCATGGCATTTTATTTACATTTCTATATTTCATATTCGTCGGGCATTAATACTTCTATATACATGTTCATTTTAATGCCCATGGGCCTTTCCATTTTTCATACACTTAACCTTCATACTACAAAATTCACTAGTATCCTGTTAATGACATATACGTACCTGATAGTCTACCACTTCATCTAATACTCGGAATAATTCACTGTCTTGTAAAGTTAATGGCACGTTTTTATACATCCGTTATCTAGTATTTACACAATAATTCAAGCTCTATAGGCAGTGAATCTAAAATAAGTGCAATAACATTAAAATAAGCCATCACATACCTAAACAATGAAATAAATTGTTCAACTTGTAACAATAATAAGACCTGTATCTCTTAACAAGTAAGAGATACAATTCACTTACTTGAATGAAATTATATCTTGTTTGATAAAGTCATGATTCCCGCTATGATGTCTTTAAATGATGGAGGACTGATCAATAATATTGATCGATTAATAGATGTGTCTCCCAAAGAACTATTTACTGTAATTTATAGGTTTCTGATAAGACGTGATATATATGCATATATCACACATGGTTTTACATGGCAAGTTGCCGATCACGCGCGCACATATCACATGGGATTGCATAATATGTTTTATTTAGTTCCCTCGTTTGCATTACTTTCCTTTTATACTGTCGTAGGGCATTGTATAAATTATGGCAGACACGGCCCAAATATTTATTTGGGCCGTGTTAAAAAAAATACTACCTCCGGTTTTTTTAATCTCCACAGCTTGACTTCACACAAAATAAGGAAAGAAATTTGACTTTACTGTAGAGTACACTGTTGAGGCACTGTTTGACACTGTTAGGCACTGTAGAGACACTGTTTGGCACTGTTGAGACACTGTTTGGCACTGTTTTGATGTAGATTTCTTTGCCAAAAAAGGAAATAAGGAAGTGTGAAGTTTATTTTAGACCGTCCCAAAAAGGAAAGTGTGAAGTTTATTAAAAACCGGAGGGAGTATATTTTTCCCACCACATCACCAGAATTGACTAAAAGCTTAATAGTTGGAAGTACAAATTGCTCTCCCAAGCCGGTAAGATGGTTTTGATCAAACATGTTCTGTCCACTATTCCGATTTATACTATGGCTTCCTCACATGTCCCCAAAAGTGTGCTTTATGACATTGAACAACGTTGTTCTAATTTTTTTTAGAATAAGGATATCAATTCTCCTAAACACTATGACTGGATGTCTTGGATTAACTGCTCATACCCTTATAATGAGAATGGCCTTGGGTTTCGCAGGTTACATGAGGTTCAAAGCAGTTTCTTTCTGAAACTTTGGTGGAAAACACATCAAGATCAAAGCATTTGGGCTACCTTTTCAATTCCATGCGCTCTCCTAGATTATCTGTTTTTTGGAATTCGATGTACTTTGTAAAACACATATATAGTGAAAACACTGTTGTGATTGTGCATGCCGGGAAGAGGTCCTTTTGGGACTCCAATTGGAGTTCCTTTGGACCGTTACACAGATTCTCCTCCGAGAACTACAACCCTAATCTAACTATCAGTGCCGCCTACAGCAATATTGAAGGGCACACCGGGGATCTTCCCCATGATGTTAGGCAGGCCTTGACCACCTCTCCCCCCCCCCCTTCGATAATGAACCTCATAAAATCATTTGGAACCGTAGCAAAACTAGCATTTTCACAATAAAATCGGCCTATGATGTGATTCGCAAAAAGCGTTGCAAAAACGCTAAATTGGAAATTATTTGGAAAAAATCCTATTCCTAAAAAGGTTTCGTTTTTCCTTTGGCGTATTAGTAACAATTTGGTTGTCAATGCTATCTCTCTCCAAAAGATGGGTTTTTATAGTCCTTTTAAATGTCCTCATTCCAACCACTTTGACTCTCTGGATCATTATTTCTTTATTTTTTTAACCTGCCCCGCTCATGCTTCCATCTGGTCGCACTTTAATATTCCGAGTCAAAGGTTGGAAGGCAACCTCAAGGACAATGTTCTCAATTGGACCAACCTTAAAGACTTCCTCTGTTATGTCAATATTCTTTGGACCCTTTGGAAAATGCGTAATGCTACACTTTATGAGGACATTATGCCCAACAATTATGAGGCATTTTCAACATAACGAAAGATCTCCACAACATCCAAAAAGCCAGTTTTGTTAAGCGTTCCTCTAAAGTTAATATTTGTATCCCCACTTGGATTCCTCCACCGATTAACCAATTCACCCTTAGCATTGCTCACACTAATACTTCCTACACTCATAACTTTGGTTTCCTTGTTCGTAATCATCGGGGGGGAGGATAACCCATCACTTGCACAGCTCCTTTACTCGGTTCCCATACAAAGTTTATTTTGAAATGATTTACTTGTTTCTTAATACATGCAGAGAGAGGAGTATAAAAATCAATTGCATAGAAGTCCAGTGATCTTCAAATTGTTCAAGCAATCAATCTCCAGTGTGTTAAATTTTGGGACGTCATTTTCACCATCACTTGCATTCGGCGGATTTTACATCAAAATCAAATCACATTGAGGCACATTCCTGAAGCCGTAAACTGTGCTGCTAAGGCAATCACCAATGGAGTTAATGTTAAATCCAACCGCTTTCTCAACATCCTTAAGTTTGATGCTATGGCTTTTCCTTATATCATTTAATCCTTTTATTCGGCTTCCTGGTAGGTTTTGGCTGCATGTCCCCCTACCATGTACTTCTCTATCTTTTTTTAGTAATTATAAATAAATTCATTTTAAAAAAATAATAAAATAAAAAACGGGCTCTTAGACTATTATTGAAAAGAAACGCGCTGCGAGTCCATTTTTGAAATCAAATTTTAAAAGTGATATTATTTGTGTAAAATTCACTCTTATATTCTGGAAAATAAATAGGGGAATTTTGAGTTTGCACCCCATTTTCAAAACTTTTAAACTTTGCATCCTATCTACAATATATTGTGGAAAAAAAATCTTGAATGGGGTGCAAAGACAAAGACGTTTTAGGAAAAATAGGGTGCAAAGTTTAAGAGTTTTGAAAAAAAATATTGAAAAGAACGATTCAGATCAAGAAAGAAGGTTTATATAAATATACTCCGTAGATTTTAAATAGGAAAGGCTTCACATTATAGCAGGGCTATAAATGATCAACTTTCTTTTCTTTTTTTTATTAAATTAAACTTCAATTAGACGAAGTATTAATTAGGTCGGTTAAAAACTTAAGATACATAATGTCGGTTTAATTGCGGAGTATTATTTATTTATACTCGGTACATTACATTCTATTCTATGATTGCAAATCATATCAGATATGTTCGATTAACTTGTTTGTTTCCAATAATTTAAAACGAAGCTTTCACCGAAAGATAGTGGAGAACGAGGATATGATGAGATTCACAGCCTACGCTGTGTGTGACCGTCCTCGGAGCGCCGCCTCAACGACGGCATCAGCAGGACTGCCTCATGACGGCGTCTATGTGAAGTTCAGCCTGTACACATCCCCATTCCAGATGGACTCCATCACAACCGTTTGCCGTCAGCTTAGCAACGAGGGTCGCTTCTCAATGTTATCGGCAATTCTACCGAAGTGGGGCCACATTCTTGATTGCCAAACCCTATTGGCCATCACAAAAGAGGTGATCAGAAAAGCGCGGCAACAAATCGCTGAGAGTGATCATGATCATCGTAGACGCCACCAGATTCTTGTGAAGATATTGTCGTTCCAGATACATGATGACGTGGAGGCTGCGGACGATGATGATGTTAACGTTGTTCGAAGTACGAGGAAGAGGGCGAACGCCGACATTGAAGGCGGTGACGGTGGGGGTAATTGTTATTGCGTTATTTGCATGGAGGAGATGACCGCGGAGATGAGGAGGGCAAATAAGAAGAGCAGGATGTTTAATGATGTTGTAACATGCAATCATATTGCAACAGGGTCCTACTTTCACAACCGCTGCCTTTGCACTTGGCTGCGGAAAAACCCTTCTTGCCCTCTCTGCCGCTCCCAGATCATAAACAAAATTCATAATTAGCCTCTCCTGATTTTTTAAGTAATATTATAACTAATGGATGTTTGAATGAAACATTGATTTAACTTGTAAATGTCAGTGCATAATTTTTGCATTGAAATACGAAGGCATGGTTACATTACTGTTTTTTACAATGTACTCCGTATATACGATGCAATCTTTAATTCCACTGCACCTTTAATTTCTTGATGTTTCTAATTACTTTAACCACTTTGGTATAGTATGGGGATTTTTCACAATTGTCATACGTTAACTGATTTAATTTGACATCTAGATGCATGAGTGCTTACATATCGTGAATGAAAAAAATTAAAAAGCAATCGTGAATGGACATAGTTTATCATGAATTGGTTAACCAAATCTTTCTTTGGGAACAGCTACGTGGTTAACAAACTCAAAACAATTGGAGAAGAGGTGAAAATACATATCTATATACAATAATAAACATTGGTTTATTTTCTCAATAAAAAGGAAGAGTGGCTGGGAATGACATGAATGTGATTTGTTTAAATATATCAATATAATGTTCTTTTTTATGTAAAATCGCCATCATGCATTTATGAGTAACAACTATGCTATAAAATTTTGGTACCATATTTTTAACATAATTTTCCCTACGGTTTTATGTTTACCCTAATCCTGTTATTTTTTTAATGTTAACCCTAACCCTGTTTAAACGATACATTAAAAAGTGGTTAATCGAATTAAGGAACTAGGAACGATTGTTTCTTAGGGGTTTTTGAAGAATAATATGGAGTACTACAATAAATGTCAAAGACAAAAATAGGATCACTTTCAAAAAGTTCCAAAAAGGAGACTAAACTACTACCAGTGACTAGGGGCGGAACCAGGGGCGAGCCGTGCCGGCGCCACCCCTCCGCCGGAGTTTTTGTAGTAGTAGTATTAGGTATTCCGGCCGGCGCCCCTTCATCTTCTTCGGTGAGACCTGCCCTGCACCCCTGCTATTCCGAGATCCAGCTAACAAGATGACTGAAGCATGGCCAGATTGTTTTTTTTTAACTAAATCATTAAGCCAAATGACGTCGTTTGGTTAAGTGCACAGAAACTGTAGAAACGATGTCGTTTTGATTAGTGTTTGACCTTTCTGTTTCCCTCTATTCGCGTTCCTCTTGGCCTGTTGATACGCTTGTAATTTCCGTATGTATGTTTACGTTTTTATTTAGTTTTAGTTGTTTAATATTTCGGAAATTACACACTTTTGGTGTAATAGTTATGTTTGTAAAATAGTTGTAATATGTTTAGATTAGGTTTATTCTGAGCGTAAACAGGTCCAAAATCAATCAAATGATCACTGGTGAAGGAAGGTGCAAGAGTACAAGAAAAAAAGGAGGCAAAATCCTGATTTTTGACCTGTACCCGGTCGAGTATACCATGTACTCGATCGGGTACCAACTGGACTTTCAATCAGATCAATCAAGAGACAAAGGGGCGTGCAAAGGAAGATTTGGCCACGATCAGTTGTCATACCTGATCGGGTACACCGACACACCTGATCTGGTATGCCTTTTATTTCCACTCTGAAATCGATCGATTATGCCTCAAATTTACACTTTTTACACATACCCGATCGGGTACCCTATGTGTACTCGATCGGGTACCCGAACTGCACTCCCAAAAAGCCTATAAATACACCTCCTTCCCTTCACAATTGGAGACAAATTCCTTTATACTCTTAAACTCAGTTTAGAATAGCACTTCTTTATATTTTCTAGCATGTTTACTCTCCAAATGAGGAGCTAAACTCTCATTTCTTGGTTTTGCTCTTGAAGCTTGTTGATTATATAAGTTGTGAGTTATTTTCTTAACTTCTTCTCTTGATTATTAATTCTTCCCTTAATCTTATTCTATATTAGTGTTGTTGGAGGGTTGCTATGTGACGATTAGTTAACGTTCCGACATTAATTATTACTAGAAACGATCAACGAACCGATGGTTAATCGTTGATGGTTTCACAAGTAAGTAACTTCGGTTTATTAATGCACGGTCGTGGTTAATAAACTTAAGAGGGATTAATTTTGTTGGTTAAACCGAAACCGTTGTGTTAAGGTTACCAATCTCAATTGATTTTATCAAGGAGTTAAAGAGATTAAATGCTACTATTATATCGGTATACGGTGTTGTTCTATATTTGATTAATAGTAAGGGTTATTAATGAACGGTCGTTGTTAATAACTACCCTCGATGAATTGGATATACTCCTCGATTGAGTATTCGAGAGGGGATAAGTTATAGATATATGATAATCATGTAATTTCCATATTTATGTTTGTGATTTTAAGTAGTTTTGATTGATTTTCACTTTGGAAATTACACACTTTTGGTGTAATAGTTTAGTTTGTTAAATTCTTGTAAATTGTTTAGATTAGGCTTATTCTAAGCTCAAACAGGTCTACTATCACTCAAAGGACAGTTGGTGAACCCCAAAAGTGGAAGGAAGGTGCAAAATCACAAGACAAAGGGAAGATCCTGATTTTTTGGTCTATACCCGGTCGAGTATCATCTACACTCGATCGGGTATCTTGTTGAAATTTCAAATCGGATCGGATCCGAAGACAAAGGAACATGCAGGGAAGATTTTGACCACGATCGAGTGTCTATACCCGATCGGGTACACCGACATACTTGATCGGGTGTGCATATAAATAATACTCTGAATTCGATCGAGTATGGGTCGAATTCGAGTTTCTACACATACTCGATCGGGTACTTGTTTATACCCGATCGAGAACCCGAGCTGCACCCTAAAAAGCCTATAAATTCACCCTCTTTCCTTCACAATTAGATACCAATTCACATATACTTCTTAGCTCAGTTTAGACAAGTTCTTTCTTTATATTTTTCATCATGTTTAGTCTCCAAATGATGAGCTAAACTTCCATATCTTGGTTTTGCTACTTTGAAGCTTAATGAATTTGTAAGTCGTGAGTTATTCTCTTTAATCTTCTTCCTTGAATATTAATTCATCCTTTAAATACTATTTCTATATCAATGTTAGGGAGTGTTACTAAGATGACAATTAGTTAATATCTTGACATTAGTTATAGTAATAGCTATTTCTTCCTCTATGTTAATATTGGGGAGTGTTACTAAGATGACAATTAGTTAACATCTTGATATTAACTATAATAGGATTCATCTTCTTTAATATTCTTCCTTGAGTATTAATTAATTCCTATTCATATCTCATATTAATATTTTGAACATTACTTAAAGGATCAACTAGTTTTGTTTCATATATTAATTATTACTAGAATCAATCGGTTAATACGCTTGTTATTAATTCGGTTTTTTCAATGGTAGTAAACTTGGGTTGTTAATGCATGCTTCTCATGGTTAATAAGCCAAGGGGAATTAATTATATTGATTAAACCAATAAACCGCTTGTGTTGAGGTTATCAATCTCAATCGTTTTCATCTTAAGTTTATTGCTACTATCAAGTTAATATACAACGCTTGTTCTATATTGACTCGATAGTAAGTTTTATTAATGAACGCATCTCGTTATTAATAACTACCCTCGATGAACTGGATATACTCCTCGATTGAGTATTCGAGAGGAAGATAGTTAAAGATATAACTGGGATCGACGAACATTTCATTAAGTGGATAAAAGCAAAACCAAGCCTCCATCTCCATTAAAGTAAACCACATAACTCGTTCATCTTCGTGCTTAAATATAATTGAAGTTCATCAACCAAATATAAAAAAACCCCTGTTGTTACTTACCTCTTTCTATTAAAAGAGAAGTATTCCTTTCCATGTGGATACGAACCTTACTTCACTATACTACGTATTAGTGTTGTATTGTATTTATTTTGAGTGTACCTCACGACAAGTGCACGTCAATATAACAATGATCGACTAAAATATATCAACAAGTGGAAAGTAGCAAGACCAAGTCCTTCTATTCTTGAATTTAATCCCATATAAGTCGTTCATCTTCGTGTTTAAATTTATTAAATCACTCAATCAAACCCCCCCCCCCCCCCTTATTTACTAGTTTCATAAAAGAAGAGAGTTATTCCTTTCCATGTGGATACGAACTCTACTTCACCTATACTACGTATAGTTGTTAGTATCGAATTATTTTGACGCTCCGTGACAAAGTGCTCGTCACCCGTTCCACTCTTGAGTTGAGACCAAGATTTTCCGCCTTCGTCCAGAGTCCATACTCCAGAGTTCCGCAGATGTAAGACAGTCGTCGCTCGTTTCAGACTTCGAGAGTTCTTCGCTCCAGACGGCAGAACCGCAGGTCGAGAGTTTTTCGCTCCAGAACCTTCTATGTCCTCTAGTCCTCACTCGTGTGAATCGCTTTTGATACTCAACGCAGGCAGCCCGCAGCCCTAGCGTGTTTCTCCAATCATCCGAGTAAGGTCAGTTGCCTGGGCTAGTTTGGTAAGCAATTTTAAAATTGAAATATGTTTTATTACTTTCACTAGTTATTTGCTTTTATTAATTATTTAATTTGAAATTGGATTGAGTAATTGCTTTAAGGTTTGATTTTTTTGCAAGTTTATTGATTCCTCAATAAAATTGGTTTTTAGTGTATGTAATTGATTATAAACTTGAATTGGTATAACTGTAAACCGTATAAAGTTGAAATTGAAAGTGTTTTAATTGATTTAAATTTTAATTGATGATAAGTATTTAAGAATTTGAAATTGAAATCTTTTTTTAACATGTTAGGTTACTCATGTGATCATGTCTATTTTACAATTTCTCACACAAGGCGGTGGGTCTTCTAGACGAGATAATGAAGAAAGTATTAGAGAAAAACATCCTCGTGTCGAATTTGATCTAAATGATGTTGTGTCTGGTCCTGGATTACGGAAACCAATCAAAGAGTATAATTCTGTTATTAGAGACCATGTTATAAGAGGATATTTAACAAGAGATCCGTGTAGACCGATTGACCATGTATATCCTAAGAGAGTGTGTGGTAAAGAAAAGAGAAATTTTCAACCTGCTTGGTTGGAGAAATAACTATCCATGGTTGGAGTATAGCATTTAAAAAAATGTTTCTTATTGCTTGTGGTGTCATCTTTTCAAAAATTCAAATCAAGGGAACTGAGTTAGTGAAGTTGCATTTACTGACAA